GATTTGTAAACACACAACAGCACACCCTTCTCCCTGAGTGTTTCAAAGGTATCATTATTTTTCACTAAAGTGTTATTTATGTTAATATGGAATGGGTTTATTATTCTATTTTAAATTAATAAATATTTTGAAATTTACTCAGTACTAATATCTAATACAGTTAACATTGATAGATGGACCTTACATAGACAAAAGTTTTTTAGGGGCTGTGATAATTTTTTAAGAGTAGGAAGGTGTCCTGCAACACAACTGTTTGACAGTCACTATTCTGTAGGCAACCACTTGCCCACAGACATGTGCCAAGGTTCTTGTATTAGGCATTTCTAAAGAACAAACATGTGCAGACAAGGGGACTATCACTTGTAATCTTATGCCATCTTTTTTCCCAGATGTGTTCCTGCACACATTTCTCCATGGCCAGTGTGCTCTGAACAGAAGCTCAGAGCCCCAGGTTGCCTTAGCCAGCCAGCCGTCCAAGTACCCTTGCTGTGAACTTGGTGGCTCTGGAGCTTGGTGCCTTCACCCTCTCACACTGCAGCCCAGGTTCCTGGGAGCCATCTTGCCTGATTCTTCCAGGGCCTTCAGGCAGCCTTCTGTGAGTAACCCCTTGCTCACTTTGTGGGTTATCACCTTGTGGGGCCTGCCTAAGGTGCATCTCCAGGTGCCTTTTCTCACCCCCTGCAGCCCTCAGCCATCTTGTCTTTGTCCCTCGTTCCACGTTAGGTAGCCCTGTTCTTGAGACTCCCTGCTCCTGTACCCTCACTGGCCTCTGCTTGCCCTGCTTACCTCAGTCAGGGGTCCTGCCCCAACCTGCCACCCCACAGGCACCATTTTAAGGCTCTGGGTAGGCCCCCATGATATCCATGTCCTTAGTCCATATGGTGAGCCAGCTCTGTGGCCATGGTCCAGGCCCCTGGAACTGTCCCAGGTCCCTGTCCTATGAGAGAGCTGAGAAACCCCTGCCTGGCCCACATCCACCCCTCAGAGGGGATGGATCTAGGAACTACAGAGTTCCAGGAGACCTTTGGTGAACCAAGGGGAGAAAGATGGCGCTTGAACAAGGCAGGCAAAGTAGGAGGGCCCTGGGGTTCTAGGCTGGGCTGCTCCAGTGGGCTCAGATTGCTTACCTGCTGCTCAGCCCTCCAGCACATGCCCCGTGCTTCCTTGCCCCCCCACCTTCCTTGGCCTCCTTCTTACCCTCTAGCAAACAGGCTGAATGTGACTGTGAGCCCAGCTGAAGTTCCAGCCTGGGGCCTGCTGGGTCTTTGGGACTGTGCCACTCACCCCTACCCCCTGTGGGCCTTTCTGGCCCCCAGCTTTGTCAAGACCCTTACTCAATGTCACACAGACACATTGCAAAACTGAGGTACAGTTCAGTCAGATGCACAGATATTAAGTGTATTGGTCAATTATTTGTGATAAATATCTATATATCTGTGTAGCCAACACACCAATCAAAATATAGGACAGTGTCCTCTTCCTAGAAAATCTCTGCTGGTTCCATTTCAGTCTGTCCACCTCCCCTGCCCTCATCCCCACTCTCCAAGCAGCCACTCTTCTGATTTCAGTTTCAAAAGATTAGGGTTCAAGCCCTGGCTGGTGTAGCTCAGTGGATTAAGCACGGCCTGCGAACCACACGATCATGCTTCAATTCCCAGTCAGGGCACATGCTTGGGTTGCAGACCAGTTCCCAGCAGGGGACTCACGAGAAGCAATCATACATTGATATTTCTCTCCTTCCCTTCCTCTCTAAAGATAAATAAACAAAATCTTTAAAAAAAACGAAGAAAAAAAAAGATTAGGATTCTTTTCCTTCCTGGTCTTGAACTTCACACTGGGGTACCATTAATTATGCATTCTATTGAATCTGGTTCCTTCAGCTCAAGACACTGTTTTTGAGGTTCTTCCTTGTTTTTGCACACATCATAAAACCACTCCTCCTTGTAACTGTTGAATAGTATTCCACAGTATATTTGCTCCACAGCTTGTTTACCTGCTTTCTCAGTAGGGAACATTGGAGTTGTTTCCAATTTTGCTATTACAAATAAAGTTACGATCGATGAGTGTTCTTATACAAAAACTTGTGTGAACACGGTTTCATTTCTCTTGAGTCAATACCTAGAGTGGAGTTGCTGGGTCATAAGTCAGGAAAACGTTTAACAAGAAACTGCCAGACAATTGTCCATGATGCGTGTATTGATTTCCACTGCCACCAACAATGTGTGCATGTTCCATCTGCCCTGCAGCCAAGCAGACACTGGATCTTGTCAGTATCCATTGTGAGCACCTTAGTGAGTGAGTGTGCAGCACTACCTTGTTGTTTTGATGTATACACGTTCACTTTTGTACTTATTCACTTTATTTTTTATTTACTAATGCATTGAAACTGTGCCTTATTATAAGAAGGCCTTAAGTCAGTTAATTTGTGTTTGACTCTTTCTATATAGCCTTATATCATAATATGTTTGTGCAGTGTTTATAAATAATTGTGTACTTAAATTTTTAAATAGCTGTATAACCTTCCAGTACATGAATGAACCACTTTCCTTTTTTTGGTCCTTTCTGGTGGAAACCCTGGAGGTGAGGCCCAGGGGCCTGTGGCCAGAGGTCTGGTGTGCAGCAAAGGTGATTCAGTATCTCTGGGCCTGTTTAGACCCTCACAAGGGTGTGAGCACTGAGTCAGAAGTGCACATGAGAACCCAAGAGGAGTGAGTACCAGTAAATGCTCCTTTCTCTGATAAGCCACCTGGCCATGGTCCCTAGAGCCCTTCCCCGCCCATGGTTACCCTTTAGGGTCTCTACTCAGAATTGAAATTACTGGGTCAGAGGATATAAACATTTTAAAGACTCTTGACAGTTATCCCCAAACTGCTCTCTAAAAATCACCCATTTCTTCTCAACTGCCTACTGGTAGCATCTGAGAATGCTCTGGTCCCCATACCTTTCCTGGAAAGCAGTGACTTTTTGCCAAAGGGAATGTTTCTCTATTGCAAGAGAAGCCATGACCAGGCACTGACTCAGGAATCCTTCCTCACACCTGGTGCAATGACACCTGCTCCTCCCAGGGTCAGGTATCTGTTGCCACTGTCACACTGCTTAATGAACCATCCCCATATGTTGGTGACACAGTAATAAGCATTTATTTTTCTAGTCACTGTTTGCAGATTGGCAGATGTGGCTCACTGCATGCATCCCAGGACTCTTGTCTGCCTCCTGGGCTGAGCAGGACCATGCTCATCTCTGGATGATGGCAGGTGCCTAAGAGAAGGCACAACTGACACATGAATATGTTACAAGTGTTTGCTGTGTCCTACCTACTAGCAGCACATTGGTCGAGCCTCGGGTCAGGGGTGGGAAAGTGCACGCCAGCCACTGTGAGGCTGTGGCCAGGGGATGGGTACAGGACAGGTGCAGACCCAGGGCCAGTGTTTCAGCTGCCACTGCTGCTTCCTGTTGTTGGAAGTTTAAGAAAGTTTTTTTTTATTTGAGGGATCAAGGAGCTACTAATAATATACATAACAATATAGTATGTACACATATTAGTAATTACTTTTTTAAAAACATAACTCATTTCTTAAAACACTTTATTTATTTTACTATTTTTTAATAAAGAGGGGAAAGGGAGGGAGAAAGAGAGGAAGAGAAACATCAATGCGTGGCTGCCGCTCATGTGCCCCCACCGGAGACCTGGCCCACAACCTAGCTATGTGTCCTGACTGGGAATCAAACCAGCAACTGTTTGGTTTGCAGGCCTATGCTCAATCCATTGAGCTATACCAGCCAGGGCAAATAATTCTTATATTTCATAGTTCAGCAACCCTGCCCCCTCTTTAAGAGAGCCCATGAGGATACCCCCACATCTGTCTAGTTCCTGATGGCACATAGTCTCGCTTCGTGATCTGCATCACAGTGCTCACTGCATGATCTGATTTACTAAAACTGATATGTGATCACTTAAATGACTCACTTCTGTGTCCTCCCCACCTCACCCCGCCCTTGAATAAGTTCAAAGACTCAGAATCTATAAACACATTTTTTCAATTACAGTTGACATTTAATATTATTTTATATTAATATCAGGTATACAAAATAGTGGTTAAACATTTATATAACTTACAAAGTGATTCCCCCAATAAGTCTGGTCCCCACCTGGCACCACACAGTTATTACAGTATTACTGACTGGATTCCCTGTGCTGTACTTTACATCCCTGTGTCTGTTTTGAAACTGCCAATCTGTCCTTAATTCCTTTACCCTTTTCATCTAGGCTCCCCTCCTACCTGGCAACTATCAAAATTTCCTCTGTATCTGTGAGTCTGTTTCTGTTGTGTTTGTACATTTATTTAATTCTTTTGATTCCACATATAAGTGAGATCACACGGTATTTTCCTTTTTCTGTCTGACTTATTTCACTTGGCCTAATACCCTTTAGGTCCATCCATGCTGTCACAAATGGTCAGATTTCATTCTTTTTACAGCCAAGTAGTATTTCATTGTATATATGAACTACATCTTTTTTTTTTTGATAGGCATTGAGTTTTATGTTTTTAAGTGACTAAATCTAATGAAATACAAAAGCAGATTTACTGAACAGGTCTGAAAGACAGTAAGGAGTTAAGCTATACAGCTAAAAAATGAGGCCCCCACCCCTCCTCCACACTCAAACCCCACAACCCCCAGGAAGACCTAGGGCAAGCACAGAGCACCAGATACTGGTGTATGCTCCAAATCCAAACCACACACTTTGGTTCCTGTTCTTCTCATAAAAGGTTATTAAAGAGCCAACCCCAGGAGTCAGAGGGGTCTGCCTATGCTTTGTGGTAGGCACATCAAGCTAGGCCAGCATCAAGCTTGGGCCCAGCATCCCTCGGTTTTGACCACACCTGCCTGTGTGGCTCACTCTTGCACTATGTTTTTTGGCATGCACTTAACCAGGTATGCGAAGTCTGCAAACCCAACTGCACAAACAAGTTCGCCAGGGTACCCCCCAACCGAACACATCATGGGGCTCCAGCTGGCCAGCCAGGGAGACTGTGGCACTGGCTGGCCGGCTGGAGCCCCACAGTGTGTGGCCCAGCTTTGGCACACAGCCCTTGAGCTGCAGCCTGCTCCCTGTCTGGAACCACGTCTGGCTGGGGGAGTGCCTGGGGTCTGCTGCCGAGCTTGCCTTGTGGTTTCTGTTTCTGTTTAGTTTCTTTTACTACTTCAGGAAATAATTCACAAAAGACTTTGTCTCTTAAAGTAAATGCTAAACTGTGTGCAGCCAGTTGTATTTTCATGAAGCTCAAAGTCTCTACACTGGCCAGGATGGGGCCCTTTGCCACTGTGAAGCTCAGGAGCCCAGTTGGGATGGTGGGGAAGGACCAGTGTGCGAGCGGAAATTCACAATAGAAAGGAAGACATAGCCTCGTGTTGCCCTTAAATTTTTCATTGGGGGTTATCCTATAAATATCAGGAGGCTTAAAAGGAAGTTCTCCAGGAAAAATAAGTTTCCTGTGGTAATAGTCACCTTCACAAGGAGTCATCTCAGGGCCTCAGACCACACATTGCTATTCAAGAATATTGGGAAGAGGGGCTCAGCACAGATGCAAAGCTCTGGGTCTTTGAGATGCAAAGGCAGTCCTGTTTCCATCGCTGGGCTGCTGCTATTGCTTATCTCTGCCAACCTGTGTATACCCCACCAGCACACTTGGGCCCGCTGTGGTCTTGAAGGAGAGTCCGCCATCCCAGACTGAGCCCGCAGCACCACCACCTCAGCTTTCAAGACACCCACATCTTCATTATCCACTCGTGAATCACTGGGCACTTGAGTTACTTCCATCTCTTGGCTGCTGTAAATACTATAGGTTCCATGTGCACCTCACAAGAGTGTACACTCTGCTTCTTTGGAATTGCAAATACTTATTAACTTTAAAAAGCAAAACTGCTCTATAAGTCCAGTTATTCAGTAAATCAGTACAGTTTATTAAAAACCCTAAAGTAAGTTGTTTTCAGAGCATGGCAGCCCTGCAGCAGCCAGCAGCATGTGCATGTGAGCACCCAGCTCCCCACCTCACCGAGCTCACTGGACACTTTAATTCCAGATTGAAATCTGCCTTTCTTTTTAAACCCTAATACATCAATCCTGAGTTTTTATTCCATTTCCCTCTCTATTATTTATTGTATTTTGTATCTTTTAATTTCTTGGATTCTCTGGGTAAGTTTATAGGATGGATGAGCCTACACATGCTTGAAAATGTCTTTATTTTGCACCCACACTTCAATGCTAGTTTGGCTAGGTATTGGATTCTAGGTTTAAAATAATCTTTTCTGGTGATTCCAGAAAAGTACCTTGCGCTACCTGCTGTGGGCTTCCCTACTTTTGAAGTGGGACTGTCGTTGAGGGCCTCGGATAAAACCGGGACTTTGAAGTGGAAACCTGGCTGAAATGAGACATTTTACATATGGGATTTTCTGCCATTCTCAATTCTTGACCTTTCTACTGCAACAGTGCATATCATCTTAGTAATTTTAAACTGAAAGTAGGAGACTTCCACCAAGATGGAGGTGTAGGTGGAAGCACTTCGCCTTCTCACACAGCCAAGTTTAAAAACAACAAAGTTTTAGCAACAAAAACGCAGCGAAACCACAGAATATTGAACTACATGGAAGTCTGACAATAACGAACCCTTCAGCCAAACCAGCAAGAGGGGCAGAGACAGCAGCAGAGCGGGGTGGGGCAGGAAAGATCCACCGGACTGACCCGGGCATGCGACCCAGGTGCGCCAGCAGCCATGGGCGGATCCCAGGTGTGGAGAAGCAGGCGGACCCACTGAAGGCACAAGGTGGGGGACCCACTGAGGGCACAAGGTGGTGGACTCACTGAGGGCTGATCGCAGTCACACATTCACGTGCAGATAAACCGGTGAAGGAGTTAGCGGTGGTGAGACAGACCTCGCAGGCCCCAGCGGTGGGAAGCGGCAGAGGGAACCGCCATTGTCCCTGTCGGACCCCACCCCCACATACAGCATCACAAACCAGCAACCTGGGTGGCCCCACACTGGTGAACTACTAAGGCTCCACTCCTCATACATAACAGGCAGAAACAGATCAAAACATGGCTCAAGAACAACTCAGAGCCCCAGAGCTGATAAATCTAAGCGATGGAGAAATAGCCAAACTTTCAGATGCACAGTTCAAAACACTGGTGATCAGGATGCTCACAGAACTGGTTGATTTTAGTCACAAATTAGAGGAACATATGGAAGCTAAACTAATTGAAATGAAGGGAAATGCACAGGAAACCAAGAGTAATGGAAAGGAAACTGGGACTCAAATCAAAGGAGTGGACCAGAAGGAGGAAAAAAATGACCAAACAGAAAAGGATGAAGAAACAAGAATCCAAAAAAATGAGGAGAGGCTTAGGAACATTCAGCACATCTTTAAACGTTCCAACATCTGAATTATAGGGGTACCAGAAGGAGAAGAGGAACAGCCATGAGTGGAAAACTTATTTGAACAAATAACAAAGGAGAACTTCCCCAATCTGGCAAAGGAAATAGACTTCTGGGAAATCCAGGAAGCTTAGAGAGTTCCAAAGAAGTTGGACCCAAGGAGGAACACACCAAGGCACGTCATAATTACTTTAGCCAAGATTCAAATGAAGGAGAGAATCCTAGAAGCAGCAAGAGATAAGGGGACAGTCACCTACAAAGGCATTCCCATCAGATTGTCAGCTGATTTCTCAAAAGAGACCTTATAGGCAAAAAGGGGCTGGAAAGAAGTATTCCAAGTCATGAAATCCAAAGATCTACATCCAAGATTGCTCTTTCCAGCAAAACTTTCATTTAGAATGGAAGGACAGATAAAGTGCTTCTCAGATAAGATAAAATCCAAGGAGTTCATCATCACCAAGCCCTTATTATATGAAATGTTAAAGGGACTTACCTAAGAAAAAGAAGATAAAAAGATGAACAGTGAAAGGACAGCAAACTCACAGTTATTAACAACCACACCTAAAACAAAAGCAAACTAAGAGGACAGCTAGATCAGGAGCAGAACCATAGAAATGAAGATCACACGGAGGGTTAGCAACAGGGGAATGGGAGGAGGGGAGGGGGGAGAAGGTACAGAAAATAAGTAGCATAGACGGTAGGTAGAAAATAGATGAGGGGAGGGCAAGATTAGTATGGGAAATATAGAATCTAAAGAACTTGAGACACGTGGTCATAAACTAAAGGGAGAAAATGGTGGGGGAGGGGATGTGCAGGATGGAGGGGAATGAAGGGGGGAAATAGAACAACTGTAATGGCATAATTAATCAAATATATTAAAAAATAAAATAAAATATTTTTTCCTTCAGAACATTAGAGAAATTGCTCATATAGCTTTTAGCATTCAGCATTGGTGACAGAAAAGTCTGTCCTCGAGTTGGTTTTCCTTCAATTGTGATAACTTAATTTCTCTCTTTGGAAGATAGTAATATTTCCCTTTCATTTTTGATGTTCTAAGATTTTACCACAAAGTGTCTAGAGTTTTAAATTCCATTTTCCTTTTATTCACTCTGCTTAGTATTCAGTGAACTCTGTCAGTCTGAAGGCTGTTCTCTTTCTCTAGCTCTGTAATTCCCACCCACCATCCCATGATTTATTTGAGTATGTATTTATTTATTAAATTTACTTATTTAATCCTCACCTGAGAACATACTGATTTTAGAGAGGGGGGGAGAGAGAGAGAGAGAGGGAGAGAAACATCAATGCAAGAGAAAAACATTGACTGGTTGCCTCTCATAAATGCCCTGATCTGACACTGAACCCACAACTTACACATGTGCCCTAACCAGGAATCAAACCCATGAAGTTCTGGTTTACCAAACAATGCTCCAACGAAGCTACACTGGCCATGGCTCTTTGAGTACTTCTTTACTCCCATTTTATCTATTCTCTGTTTTGAGGAGCCCTGTTAGAAAGATGTTGAAATTTCTGGGTCTATCCTCCACATCTCACTGCCTTTAACCCCATTTTTAATTAGTTTGGCTCTCCACACTGAGCATTAGGAGAATTCTTTGTTTTGATCTTCCATGTCACTAATTTCCCTTTAGCTGTGACTATTTTTTGTATTCATCCATCTATTGAGATTTTGAAGTTAATTGTCAGATTTTACTATTTGCAATTACTTTTTTATGGATGAATTATCCTCTCACATCTCTCACAAGATGGAAATTACAGCTTTTATAATGCCTTCTTTGTTTTTTCCTCTTGGTTTCCTTTTGTTGGTCTTCTCCTGTATTTGATGTCTTTTCATAGTGATCTTGGTTTTTCTCAAATGTTTCAGGATTCTTGGCCTTCCATCCATCTCTATATCTAAGCATTTCTATTAGCTTTGTTTTTGATGCATCATGTCTCCCACTGATGACTCTTGGGGGTGGGGTGAACTCTATACTTGAGAGAGGGATAAGTTCCCTGTCCTTCCTAGGACCCTGGGGTATGTATGTATGGCTTTGCTGCTAGACCAAGTATCCATGTGCTCAGATTTAGCTGGGGACAATAACTGTGGTCCAGGAATGGTGATCTTCCTGATTTCACCATGCCATTATGAATTTCTTTTCTCTCCCATTTCTTCTTCTTCTAATTAAAGAATTCTTTTTTTGTCATTTATGGGATTTTGGTTAGGAGGGAGGTCAAATGGGGGTGCTTGGTCCTCCATCTGGCTCTAATCTGCATTTTTAGCAAAGCAACCAAGTTTGGAAGTTTAAAACTAACGACATTAAGGCTGAGAGATTTCTTAATGTAAATACATTTTAGCAGAGTTAATGAAGACTTGGAGTGCTTACAAAGTTGGATGTATTACATGTGTGACAAATTATATATAAAGCAGATTTCATTTCCTTTTTTTAATCAGCAAAGAAAAAATGTCAAGAAAGCCACATCTCTTATATTTTAGCTGTACATTCTAAGGGATAATGCACATTTAAACATTTTCATCATTTGCTGTTAAAATGAATAAAGCTTTATAATAAAATCTCCTAAAGTCTAAAGTTCAAGTTCAAGCCAGCCAGAAGCCCCTCATTGAGAAATGGTCCAGGCTTTGCCAAAGAGGCCTTTGGTCCCTGGCTGCTGCTGTTGGCAACCACAGTGCAGTTTCTCCACCCTGCCCCCCACACCAATCCCCCTCCCCATCTCCTGTCACTATGGTGATGCTCACTAAGTAAAGTGAACAATCCCAATAGTGTGCACAGGCGCCTTCATTGGCATTTCATCAGTGGCTGTCAGTTTCCACACAACAACAGCAATCTAATCAATACATATTTGTTGAATGCATACTATATGCTTGGTCCTAGAGCCACAAAGGTCAATAGGAGGAGATGCTTTCTCTCAAGAAAGCTTCCCACAGGGGAGAGAAGGCACACACAGGGATCCCATGGATCAAAGTGGAGCCCAGCTTTCCATGTTGTTGTGGTTACTGAATTTAAAAATGTTTTGTGTTTGTGTGGGCATGATCCTTTTTAAAATGATGTTTAATTTTCAAGTGGAAGATACATTCACTC